GTGTGGGGGGGACCCTTTGGGGTTAGGGACTGGTGTGGGGGGCATCCGGGTTTGTACGGGTGGGGGGGCTTTTCGGGGTTGTTATGGACTGGTGTGGGTCATCCGGGGTGTTATGGATTGGGGTCATCCGGGGTGTTAGGGGGCAGGGGTGGGTGGCATCCGGGTGTTATGAACTGGTTGGGGGCACCCTGGGGTTGTGGACTGGTGTGGGGGGCATCCTGGGTGTTAGTGGACTGGGTGGGTCACCCTGGGGTTAGGGGGACGGTGTGGGTCCCTCTGGGTGTTAGTGAACTGGTGTGGGTCCATCCGGGTGTTAGTGGCTGGTGTGGGGGGCATCCGGGGTTTTAGGGGACTGGTGTGGGTCCACTGGTGTTATGGACGGTGGGGTGGCTTCCTGGGTTTTTGGGTTGGGGTGGTTTGGTTTTAGGGGTTTGGGGGTTTGGTTTTTTTGGGCGGGGGGGTTTGGGTGTTGTCTTTTTGGGGGGTTTTGGGTGTTAGTTTGGGGTTTAATTGGGGTGTTTAATTTTTGGGGTTTGGGTGGTGGGGTTTTGGGGTTAGTTTGGTTAAAGGTTTAGGGGGGGGTTTGGGGTTAGTGAGGGTTTGGTTTGGGTTTTGGGGTTTGGGTTTTTTTTAGGGGGTTTTTTGGGTTGTGGGGGTTTTGGGGTTTGTGGTTGGTGGTTGGGGTTTTGGGGGGTTTTGTTGGGGTTTTTGTGGGGTTTGGTTGGGGGTTTTGGGGTGTGTTGGGGGTTTATGGTGGGGGGGGTTGGGGTTAGTGGTTTGGGGGGGTTTGGGGTTTTATGGGGGGTTTTGGGTGGAGGGGGGGTTGTGGTTGGGGGGGTTGGGGTTATGGGGTGGGGGTGGATTGGGGGTTTTATTTTTTTTGGGGGGGGGGGGGGTTTATTGGTGGGGGGGTGTTTGGGGGTTAGGGGGTGTGGGGGGTTTGGGTGTTAGGGGGGGTTGGGGGTTGGGTTTGAATATGGGGGTTTTCCCCGGGGATTTTTTGGTTGGGTACTTTTTTTTGCGGTTGCCCCCGGGGTTTTTTTTTATGGGGGGGTTTGGGGTGTTGGGTGGGGGTGGTTGGGGTTTGTGGTTTGTTGGGGGTTTGGTTTTTAGTGGGGGTTTTTGGGGGGTTGGGGTTTAGGGTTTGGGTGGTTGGGTTTGTGGTGGTGGGGTTTTTGGGGTTGGGGTTGTTTAATTGGGTGTTATGGTTGGGGGGGTTTGGGGGGGGGTTGGGGGTTTTGGGGTTAGTGGACTGGTTGGGTGGCCCCGGGTGTTAGGGGACTGGTGTGGGTGGCTCCTGGGCTTTTTGGGGACTGGTGTGGGGGCATCCGGGGGTTTTTGGGAGGTGTGGGTACATCCGGGGTTTAGTGGACTGGGGGGGTTAAAATCCTGGGTGTTAGTGGACTTTGTGGGTCACATCCTGGGGTTAGTAAACTGGTGGGGGTCACACCTGGGGTTATGGAGGGTTTGGGGGTGGCATCTGGTTGTTTGGACTGGTGTGGGTGGCATCCTGGTGTTAGTGGTGGGGGGGGTGGCACCGGGTGTTAGTGGACTGGGGGGGGCACCTGGGTGTTGTGGACTGGTGGGGGTGGCATTGGGTGTTAGTGGATGGTGTGGGGGGCACCTGGGTGTTAGGGGACGGTGGGGTGGTTCCTGGGTGTTAGTGGATGGTGTGGTGGCACCCTGGGGTTAGTGGACGGTGTGGGGGGGACCTGTGTGTTAGTGGATGGTGTGGGTGGCATCCGGGGTGTTAGGGGACTGGGAGGTGGCTCTGGTTTTTAGGGGACTGGGGTGGGGGCACCCTGGGTTTTAGGGATGGTGTGGGTGGTCCCCTGGGTGTTAGGGATGGTATGGGTGGCACCGGGGGTTATGGACTGGTGTATGGCTCAGGGTGAAATGGCTGGGTAGGTGGCTCCTGGGGTTAGTGGACTGGTATGGTGGACCCTGGGGTTTAGGGGATGGTGTAGGTGGCACCTGGGTTTTATTGGACGGGTGTAGGTGGCCCCGGTGTTAGTGGACGGTGTAGGGGGCATCCGGGTTTTATGGACGGGTGTAGGGGCATCCGGGGTGTTAGTGGACTGGAATAGGGCCCCGGGGTGTTAGTGGACTGGTTAGGTGGATCCTGGGTTTAGGGAGGTTTAAAGGTGGCATCCGGGGTGTTAGGGGGACTGGTGTGGGGGGCATCCTGGGGTGTTAGTGGACGGTGTAGGGGGCCCACCTGGGTTTAGGGACTGGGTAGGTGGCACCGGGGTGTTTAGTGGACTGGTGTGGGTGGCTTTGGGGGTGTTAGTGGACTGGTGTGGGGGGCATCCGGTGTTAGGGGGGACTGGGTAGGTGGCATCGGGGTGTTAGGTGGACGGTGTAGGTGGCATCCGGGGTTTAGTGGTGGTGTAGGTGGCATCCGGGGGGACAAGATGAGGCCCACAAAAAAATTTAGTTAGACGTCCTTGGTGTCACATGACTTTTTGGGTTATTTGGGTGGGAAACCCCTCCAGTGTTAAAAAATCCGAACGAAATCTTTTCTGCCGGGGGTTTGATAAGCCCCTTGACTTTTTTTTAATTTTCCCCGGTTCCTACAATATCTGCATTTATGAAATCTTGTAAAGTGCACCCTAATTTAAACTTGCTCCAAACCCCCGGGTTCAAACCCCCCCTTGGGATGGTTGGTCTTCCCCATTGGTCGAGGTTTCAAAGAACCCCCAATGGAAATAACCCTTTTCCGATTTTTTTAGTTATCCTGGGTAATTTACACTCGTACTTCTATGTATAATAATCTATGTAAATGTTTTATGTTACCTATTAAATTTCTAACTTTTGACTTTTTTGGGCAGATAAAGCTTAAAGATGTTAAATACTAGACATTAGTGAAAGCCGAATAGGCCCTGTGGGGGTTTCCTTGAATCATATTTAGGTGTTTTTTGGGGCCCAAAATTTTGCTTCGGTTTTGGGTGGTGCCTCCAAATCGGCCAAAGACACATCCCCGCCTGCTGGGCATGGTGAATCGTTCCCGTGTTTTCGGCGAGTGGCATAGCCGCAACCCCTTTATCCCAAAAATTTCCTTAAATCCCTTGTTTTTGGTGATTTTTTAAAATGTGACTGGAAAATAAGTACCAGGGCCCTAAGAAATTCCAAGTAAAATTCTTTGGTAAAGAAAGTGAGAAAAAAACGAGGAAATTTTAAAAAGGAAGTAATAGACAATTGAAAGTGGTATGCGTTCCCCAGCTTGCCCGGATGTACGGGAAAAACAAGTCGACATCTCTTCCCTCCCCGGGAAGAAAGAACAAACAAGGAAGCATGTGGCAAAAGGGGAACCCTGTTTCGAAAAAGAGATCACAAACACTAAAAGTCGAGAAGTTATTTTTTTGGGGGTGACAAAGAGAAAAAAGTTAGCGGAGAAATGTTGTGGAGGCCATAAATTTTCAAAATGGCAAGACGTTGCATGCAGAACTTGTGAAGAAAATGCCCGGGTAGTCTGATGTTTGTGAATTTAAGGCAAGGAGGCTGGTTTGAGAATTTAAAAAGGTGGGGCATACCAATGTTGTAAAAACATGGGAGGCGCGATTCAGCAAACCTGCGACTGAAGAATTCGTTTATAATTCAAGGTACAAGAGGTTGAAGGATTCCCCCCCAAACAAATCTTCAGTTGTGTGAAACAGGGCCTCTTCTGGAAGAAAAAAGCCTAGGGACCACACACACAGGAGGAAAAGGCATGCCAGGACACAAACCAGAAGGAAGGCTTTCTCTTTGTTCTGTGGTAATGCTAGTGGGATTTCAAAATGAAACCCTTTCGGTTTATCACCTGAAATCCCCCAAAGGGCAAGAAAAATAATGCATCAAGAGTAAAATTTTTGGGTGATGGGAAGGGGAATAAACAGCGGGGGGTCCCAAAGGGGGATTTCGTTGACTGGGTCATTGAAGTGTTTTGGCCCCAGTGTAAAAAAAACCTCCCGGAAAAAAAATTACCACTCAAGTGCCTCCTGGAATGGGACGTTCCTGCCCCCCTCCAAATTTGGGAAAACCCAAATTTTTGGGGAATATAGTTTCATCAGAGTGAAGTTTTGCCCCCCGATACCATCCTCCCACCAGCCCAAGAAAACCCGCAAGTTTTTTCTAACTTCAAAAAACCTACACAAAGCAGTTTTAAAGGTGCTTTGAATGACCCGGGCCCCCCCGAAATTTACCCCAGAGAGTTTGGGGAATCACTTCACTATCCCCCATTGCATAAGCTTTAGATAAAGCTTGGCAGGGAGTGATTCCAGGCGTTAAATTTTTCTTGGGGTTGGG